CAAAAAGTGTGCCATTAGGCTTAGTGCAGTGGTTTAGACTGCTGACTCTCAATCTGAAGGTTGCGGGCTCAAATCCAGGGTGGGTATTTTAAATTTTAAAACTTTATTTCTTTTGGGGTAAATTGAAACTTTATAGTTAATTTCGTAACCATTAAAAAGTGTGAAATTATGCTTAGTGCAGTGGTTTAGACTGCTGACTCTAAATCTGAAGGTTGCGGGTGGGAATTTTAAATTTTAAAATTTTATTTCTTTTGGGGTAAAATGAAACTTTATAGTTAATTTTGTAACCACTTAAAATTGTAAAATTATGCTTAGTCCGATGGTACGGACTGCTGACTCTAAATCTGGAGGTTGCGGGTTCAAATCTAGGGTGGGATTTTTACATTTTAAAATTTTATTTCTTTTTGGGTAAATTGAAACTTTATAGTTAATTTTATAACCACTAAAAAGTGTGAAATTATGCTTAGTCCAATGGTATGGACTGCTGACTCTCAATCTGAAGGTTGTGGGTTCAAATCCAGGGTGGGAATTCAACATTTTAAAAATGTTATTTCTTTTTGGGTAAATTGATTTTTTATAGTCAATTTCGTTACCACTAAAAAGTGTGAAAATATGCTTAGTCCAATGCTGACTCTAAATCTGGAGGTTGCGGGTTCAAATCCAGGGTGCGAATTTTAGTTTTTAAAATTTTATTTCTTTTTGGGTAAATTGAAAACTTTATAGTTTATTTTGTAACCTCTAAAAGTGTGAAAATATGCTTAGTCCAATGGTACGGACTGCTGACTCTAAATCTGGAGGTTGCGGGTTCAAATCCAGGGTGGGAATTTTACATTTTAAAAATGTTATTTCTTTTTGGGTAAATTCAACTTTTATAGTCAAATTCGTAACCACTAAAAAGTGTGAAATTATGCTTAGTCCAATGGTTCGGACTACTGACTCTCAATCTGGAGGTTGCCGGTACAAATCCAGGGTGGGAATTTTACATTTTAAAATTTTATTTCTTTTTGGGTAAATTGAAACTTTATAGTTAATTTCGTAACCTTTCAAAAGTGTGAAAATATGCTTAGTCCAATGGTACGGACTGCTGACTCTAAATCTGGATGTTGTGGGTTCAAATCCAGGGTGGGAATTTTACATTTTAAAATTTTATTTATTTTTGGGTAAATTGATTTTTGATAGTCAATTCCGTAACCACTAAAAATTGTGAAGAGATGCTTAGTCCAATGGTACGGACTGCTGACTCTAAATCTGGAGGTTGCGGGTTCAAATCCAGGGTGGGAATTTTACATTTTAAAATTTTATTTCTTTTTGGGTAAACTGAAACTTTATACATGTCGTTAATTCCGTAACCACTAAAAAGCATAAAATTATGCTTACATAGCTGCCAACATTTCAAAATCCCAATTAGTAATCAACCCGCACGGTCATTTTCAACTGCTCGTTTTATCAAAAGCTTTACCAACATCGAGTACAGGTACATGGTTTACATGTACACATACATGTGCATACCCTTCTTCTTGTGAATAATAATGTAATGTAGGCCAAAAGATAATTTAATTTTTTTTTTTTTTTTTTTTTTTTTAATTAATTTTTTTTAATGTCTTTATTTGTTTGTTGGAGTCAAATAAATAATAACAATAATAAAATATGCGCATATTTTTTTGGACATGCATGCTATCTATGTGGAGTTTCGAGTTCGTATCAATGTTTTTACACACAATGATTTAGGGCCACCGTCATGACCGTATGCAATAGAAATATCCCGCCAACATACCTTGCAAACGCATGCTGATTTATCTTTTCTGGACGTTGTGACAAACTCAAACTGTAATACCAATTATTCCAACCATACTCTTATTAAATTCCATGATTAAATTGTCGCACTGATGGGTCTTAAACCGGCAAAAAGCGACCAAATGTGCTCACGATCGTCACTGAAAAGTACTCACATACAGTACACACAACCACACATCCACGAGATGCACACAAATGACACACCATTGAAAAATAGTTTTAGTCTGGTCCTCAAGTACTCCACTGCGCACACTGCATTGATGTCTATCTGGTGCTTGACTGCATTCTTATTAGACTTGTCACCAGTCCATCCATTATCGCGACATTTCGCCAGAAGTTTTCGGTCAAAAACGATACTTTACATTTTTTTTTTCATTAGGTAGAAAATGGGAAATTCGTAATGTTTTAGTGGCAAATCGTATTTTCGTAATTTAACAAACAATTCGTAATAATTACGAAAAAATCGTACTAGTTGGCAGCTATGTGCTTAGTGCAGTGGTTCAGACTGTTGACTCTAAATCTAAAGGTTGCAGGTTCATTCCCACGCTGGGAATTTTAGATTTCAAAATTTTATTACTTATTAGGTCAATTGAAACTTTACAGTTAATTTTGTAACCACAAAATAGTGTGAAGTTGTGCTTAATAAAGTAATACGGACTGATGACCCTAAATCTGAACTTCTGAAGGTTGCTGGTTCAATTCCCACAGTTGGAGTTTTAGATTTTAAAATTTAATTAATTTTGAGGTCAATTGAAACTTTATATTTTTTTCAAGTTTGAAACCAGTCCACACTTCTAGTCTAGCAAAAGCCAAAAAGTAAAAAAGCAAATACTTTTAGCTTGAAGCAAATAGTGAAAGCATTTGCTCTCATTTTTATTCACGCAAATAAAAGTTATGCTTAAAAATACGTTGTAAAAAAAAAGGAAATGCTAGTTTTTATACATACGGTCGAATGTTTCAATGTAAAAAAAAATTGCATCGTTTATGTTTCAGTAATACATGTAGATATAAAGTGTTTGAGGACCTATGTGGATCTGTTCGGGCCTACAACGACACCCATTCACTGAGCGGATTCGGGATTACCCATCGAGAACTCGAAAAGATAGGAGAGACCAAGGCCAGTTGCTTTGGTAAAATTTTTCATTCAGGTAAGACAAACTTCCATGAAGACTCAACTCATTAGTTCAAGTCCCCCCCCCCCAACTAAGCCCTAAGACAACACTGAGTGTACACTGTTTACAAAATATGTCAGGTTTTATTTAGTTAAGTGGCTTTCAGGCTGTTAGTTCTCCCACATTTTAATGGTGGTCTCTCATTTGACAGGTCAGGTCTGGTACCAAGACTGTAGTTTCAGCTGCAGATTCCTCGGGGGCTGATTTGGATAATGCGCAGGCCTGAGCGTACAGCCGCAGCTGTGCTAGATGGTGGTGCAGCAGCTGGGTGTGCTCCTCAGACATGTGTTGCAGTAACTCTTGCAAAATGGACTTGTTCTCACTGTTTCAAACTGGACGTGTGCATCATGGACAGCTGCTGCTTGAGTGACGTGTTTGTGTTGGACAAATACTCAACCTGGAGGGCAAGAAGGATGGGCAGAGAAATTATTTGTTAACAGATGGAATTTTAATAGACCAATCCATTAGGCTCTGCCCCATGATGTGTAACCAATCACAACCATGACAGCGCACACCAAAGTCCGACATTTATGCACTTACTTTATGATGTGTGCAGTTGGAGCATGAATGCTTAAGAAGGCACATGTGTTGTTGCCCAGTTATTTAGTGCAACTAGAGTATGAGTGCAACCACGGATCTTCTACACAAGGATAAACGACACATCTGAGCTTGTGTACATAATGTGTGGAACGGTTTGTCTGCATATATGATATGCAGCATCAGAGCATAGAACAACGTAGAACGTGTAGAAAATGTAGAACAATGACAACAACAGTGCACACCATGATCGCCCACAGCTGGCATCCTGACAGAAATCCGACCACTGAAAGAATGCAGTCGCATTAGTGTGCCTGCATTAGTTCTGATCAAGGTATGTCCCCCCTCCCACTTTTGAGAAGCGATTGACGCCTTTGATACCTGTTGCATTCAGGGAACAAAATCCAAACTCATTCTTAGACCAAGACCAGATGGAATGCCCGCTGACCTTTGTACAAAGCCTTTCTATATTGCCTTTCATCCTGTGCTCTGTCTGGGCCCACGTGGTCCGCTCCTCCTCAAGAGTCTTCTCCAGACGTTCCTTCTCCTGCAGCAGCAGCGACAAGTTGTGCTCTGTGTAGCAAGTCTCGTCCTCCAAATCCCCTTTGCTTCCTTCGTCTGGTATCTCAATAAGGACAACTGTTTACGAGAGGACAGAATGGTCGAGGGAAAGGTTGAGTAATTATCCTGGATACTAATTCCTGTATTATAGAAAGTCCCTCAGGCCACTCCGGGTGAGGGCTACACAGAGGGGAACGACAGGAGTTTATAGAGTAGAAATGTCGACATGTATGTTGCGCTTCAATGGGACAGATAATCTGTAGCCTTAAAAACAGGATACAGGCAAGGAAGTCCCAAGAGATGCTGTGCGTGTCAAGAACACATAATTTCATGTAACTGGGTGTAAGCAATCACTCATTTTTCAAACCTTATTCCTAACATTAGGTGGGCAAGGTGAAGGACAAATTCCAATATTTAATTAACTGTTGAAGTATGCTTTCAAAATGTATTGCCACCCTGACTTATTATATTTTTTTTGTTTAGAACCTTCTCGAATCTTCCAAAATTCAATCAACTTAAATAACACCAATGGCACACCCTTTACACCTTGTAATTTCAATTTGTAAAATCCACTGTCAATATTGGCCCTCACCCGCCCCAACCCCTTAAAAAAATGCTGAAATTTTGGTTGTTTTGTTTATTTCAATGACCCAACAAGTGCAGGAGTGAAGACAACTGTTTTAAACATGCTGTTGTCTACCCATTCCCTTCTTCCATATGGATTCACGATGTATCAATTGAAAACAAAGTGGAGGGGGTGTTGGGTGGGGGTTGGGGGAAGAGTTCTTCCTTGCATCAAATGCCTCCCTCTTGGCTTTTAGTAAGCTTTTTCTAATTATCCTTCACTGCTGGTGGCATTATCCTCCCTAACCTCTGGGTAGATGCTGCAGGATTCTTGGAGGGTCAGGGTTAATATTCTTACCATCTTACCTTCCCCATTGGCAGTGCTCTGGCTCGGATCATTGATGCAGGCGTACTGGTACTCGATCTGCGGCTGCTGCCCGTCAGTCTGCTCATAGCTCGGGGATGATGTGTTCGTCTCCGATGGCTGCTGTGACTGGGGGACTATGAGGTGTGTTACCAGGCTGGCACTGTTGGGTGCTGGGTCGGTGTATGTGGTGAAGATCTGGTTGACATCCTGGGTAAAAATGGTGGAGTGAAGTCGTTAAGGTTGATAAAATGAGACTAAAACCTGCAGGGTTGCAAAAGATTCAATTTATGACACAAACGTACAGTGATAAAATTAGGTTCACAATTAATTATTTTAAAAGGCGCAAAGTGTTGGCATTTGATATAATCCACCCAAATCCTTGTAGAACTACCATACCTGCTCACAAGGTACATAAATTTCAACTGATTAAATTTATTTCATGGGGTTTTTTTTTCCATGCAGATTCAAGGGGACCATTACATTACAGGAACGGCATACTCAGTTGTCTCGAACCAGCACTGAAACTGTGAAGGCTAAAAATAAGTGCATTTTCAAACATTTTAAGCCAAAAAGGTGTGTCTAATCATTCTCAAAAGAATGGATACTCGAGTCAAATGTTTGATTGCGAAATTTATTTCCGAGAGTCTTTTGACCCTAAATCCCTAGCATGATTTACTAGGAACCATATCCATCCTGGCAAATTCCAACACCATATGGGAAACTGCGCACACACATATTTCTGACTTTGATTCTGGAGGTGTGCCAACCCAATGTAAAAGACTGTCAGTTTAGGGGTACTGTACCCATCCTGACAGATTCCAACAAAACATGTCGTTGGGGTTTGATGGGTTGAGTTCTGTTATGGTTAAAGCTATTAATAAGTCCAATGAGTTTAGGAATTCAAGCATCAGGAATTTACAACATTGTCTGAGTGAACCAGGGTAGTTTAACCACATGTGCAAACATTGATCAGCTTCATCAGCTGTCTCTAGCCATTGGATGGCCAACTGGAGTTTGTGTGCCGTGAAGTCGCCTGAAAGGTTGGGATCACACCCCTGCGCATGGCACAGCTCCTTGACTCTTGCTGATGTGATTCTAGTAAAGTTCTTGTTCGCGTTGGGGAAGCGACCGTTGCTCAACAGCTGATACACGATGGAATTTGCAGTAATTGGACATTGTGTTGGGGTTGTGGACCTACCCGTGAGCTTGTTGATGGTTTGCCATGCCCGACAGCTGGAATGGGTCAAATCCATCGATTCCACAGTCTCTGTCCATCTCTGCCTTCATTTCTCACAGAGCCTACCCAAAAGATCATTGGCTGCTTTATCCCTGTCTTCGTTGGTCGTTGCTTCTTCATGGGCGCAAAGTAGATCTTCACACTCGCCATCCCAGCAGGGGACGTAGGCCGTGAATGATGTCGTGGACGATGCAGGATCTACAACACCGCAACATTTTAAGACCTGGGGAGGGATACAGTAGAAGATTGGTTTGACAATTATGACAACAGCTGACAGCCATATGCACTTTGACAAAACATGAACTATGGATCTTTTTATATGGTTCTCTTGCTGTAACTGGCACAAGTAAGCTATTGACCTGAGTTAGGACTCTTGTTCAGGCAAGGATGCAAAGCTTTTCCCAAGACAAAGTCGGCGTTTGGGCATGGCCTGTGACAATTGAGTTTATCAAACACTGATATCTGCTAAGAATAACCAGCCCAGGTATCTGTCAATTTCATAAAACTACCACAAATGCCACTACTTTGTCCTGCTGTCCACTACCTTCAACTTATCTTAATTCAACTCACAAACCTTTTCACAAACACGGACCACAAGTCATCTTGTAGCATGACTCATGAACAGAAAGTGAAAACATTGTCCTTAACCTAAAACTTATTTCTTGGGATCCAGTCACAAGTATGCGAGAGCTTGGTCTTGTTCCCAAATGCAAACTAACCCCCAAAGTTGATGCCTTTATTCACGTGCTTAACCCTGTAGTGCGCCTTGAGGAGAATCTCATCAGTGAAGAGACTGTCCTGGGAGCAGAATGGACAGTGCAGATGCGGAGCCTTCATCAAGGAGTGGCTACACTCCCTGTCTGTGCATTGTATGGGCGTCCAGTCTGCCTCAGCGCCTTTCATTCGCACTGATGGATGCGCCTACAGTTGCAAAAAAAATGAGACAACCGTCAAGTTTACATGTGTGATGTAAAAAAAAAATGTAAATGTATGAAACGGCAACACCAATTAAATCTTCACAGACGTTTTCAAAGTGGAGAGGGGGAAACAAATTAGGCCATCATTTGTCATCCTGGCCATCACTTGTCATCCTGTGCACAATGAGACTGGTCTGAAAATTTTTAAGTGTTTTCTCAGTAAATACCCCAATAAATTCCCTGCTAAATTTGACATACTTTCGGATGGCTGATAGGTCGCTGAAGGAAAACATTAGTGATGGCCAGATATGAGAAGCTTTCCGAGAAAGTCCTACTAGCACTAGCCATAGGGATAGCGAGCAGCAGCCATTCAACTAGCCCCATAAATGTGGCCTATTTACTGGACTGCCTCCGTAAACATAGGCCACACATCCACATGTACAAAAACGTGTCGATTTTGCCAAATTTTGATTTTCACATTTAGGCTTACTTTGTACGTTTTTTTTGCTTTAGAAGCATTCTCACCCTCTATATAGACTAATCAGAAAGTGCTGCCTTTTTCAGATGTCCATTTTTTGGTGAAATTTCCAGATACATTTGCACACGTTTGCATATCAAAATTTCAACATGAAATTTCACAAAAATTAGACATCTGAAAAAGGCAGCACTTTCTGATTAGCCTATATAGAGGGTGAGAATGCTTCTAAAGCAAAAAAACCCTACAAAGTAAGCCTAAATGTGAAAATCAAAATTTGGCAAAATCGACACGTTTTTGTACATGTGGATGTGTGGCCTATGTTTACGGAGGCAGTCCAGTAAATAGGCCACATTTATGGGGCTACCATTCAACAGGTTCAATAATGTGAAGTGTCCGGAAACTGGGCGATTTCACATTTTGCTTTTTGTTTAAAAAAGTCTTACGACGAGGTGTCCAACTTAAAAATATAAATAATTTTCCAGAATATCTTGGGTACCTACCACATGAATAGCCATATTCAACAACTCCTTTGCCTTGAATAATCACATAAATACATTCTAGTGGGGGAAAATATCAAGGGGAAAAACTAGTGTTCAGCGTAAACAGCGCCCTCCAGAAAAAAAAAATGTGGGTTTAAAGGGTTTTCCAAAATTCGATTCATTCCCAGTGCGGCTTGTTCTATTAAACCAATTTGAAGAAGAATAATCATGTAATTTCCACACAGCTACTCAGAAAGCGTGGGGTGTCAAATAAGAAAAGACAATCAGGTATTATTGGGCTTCCGTTACGGGAGACGCAGGGATCTCGTTAAAAAAAAGAAGGATGCCATTCAATGATGAAGCTGCGAATCTGCGACGAAGGCCGAGGTTTCGAAACAGCTTGCATGTGAGGGACACATGAGGGCAGCATTCAACAACATAAACACGCGACTCTTGACCAGTGTTGACACATGCTTGAAAATCTGGCGCTACCCGTATTCTTCCGAGTGGCTGAAAACTTTCTTATTACGTCAGTATCAGTACTACAAGTTTGTTTTAATTAAAGGTAACATTAATTTGGTTGTTTTTAATAGCTATTGGTGAAATCTGCATTATTTTATTTAGTGAAAGTGAAACGTACTGCAGAAGTAGCCGTCATGGCCGCACTCCCGTAGACGCACTGTGCCAGTGCGTTTACACGCCATTGACAATAGCGTTGTAAGATTGTATCTAATTCGTCATGTGTGTTCGTGAAGAGTTTGAGATGCTGGAAAAAAATCGGTAATCCTTACCTTTAGGACTCCTTTCCTATATAAGGTTAAAAGACTCACCAAAACAGCTGACTAAATGACCCTCAAAAGTGACATTCTGATATTTCTTGGCACATTTGAACATTTGGCAATGACACCTCTTGAATATCAGCAGGTTTGATTTTGTAGAAAGAGGGCAGGGTTATGATTGATGAGGGGTTAAAGACGACGATGACAAACAGAAAATAAATTTAAAAAGCAAGATGGCGAACTGCATAAAAAGATAGGAAAGTCGCATTTTCTTTGAAAGTGCTTTCAAAATTATAACTAGCATGAGTTTGTCTGAAGAAAAAATACTTCTTTAGCCTGCAAAAGTCACTTTGGTACTGGACAGTCATCTGCAAAAGTCAGTTTTGAACAGAACTCGTACAAAATAGAGGTGTCCTAAAAGTAAGGATTACCACATGTTCTGTCATGGCCCATAGACTTTGTGCAGGAACTCTGAGTGGTGGCCCAGTATGGAATTTTTTCTGACCACCCCAACTAGTTGGCGACATTGAGAACATATATAGGGGTACTTCTGAAATCAGAAGGCTTCTCTCTGTCAGAGAAGCCTTCTGATTTCAGAAGTAATATAGGGGTAGTCCTTATTTTTAGGACGCTTCTATTTTTTACGAGTTCTGTTCAAAACTGACTTTTGCAGATGACTGTCCATTACCAAAGTGACTTTTGCAGGCTAAAGCAGCATTTTTCCCTCCGATAAACTCATGTTTGTTGCAATTTTGAAACACTTTCAAAGAAAATGTGACTTTCCTACCGTTTTTTTGCAGTCGGACGTGAGTACTCCTAGACACTAATTAAGTACAAAAACGTCCATCAAAATGCAGACATTTCCCACAGAACCGCTGCACAATTTGCCCCTAAACTCCGTACTATACCTCATGACATACTCACGTAATATGCGCAGAACAAACATCGCTGGATTTGTCGTTTTTTTTGGCTAAAATGATGAAAAATATGCCCTTTCTGCACTGAGCCAACCTGACACTTGAAACGTGCACGCAAAAGCCTATGATCCAGCGATGATTTTCGGTTGCAAAAGAAATGATAGTATGCGCATGCGTACAAGTGCAAGTACCGTACCCCCCGCGGCGTGCTCCGAAAAATCATCGCTGGATCATATACGTGCACGTTTCAAGTGTCAGGTTGGATCAGTGCGGAAAGGGCATATTTTTCATCATTTTAGCCAAAAAAACGACAAAATCCAGCGATGTTTGTTCTGCGTATATTACGTGAGTATTTCATGAGGTATAGTACGGAGTTTAGGGGCAAACTGTGCAGTGGTTCTGTGGGAAATGTCTGCATTTTGATGGATGTTTTTGTACTTAATTAGTGTTTTGTGCTGCAAACAATTTTGCGGGGTTCTTCATCTACGTGGAGCCTCGTGGTGCCTACGTGGAGCCTCATAGTTCTAGGAGTAAAACGTGAGATGTGCCCATTGTATTTCTCACAACACGAGTGAAAGCTCAACACAATGAAAGCCCAATGCTGATTGGCTGCTAAAAAAAAATTAAGTAAAATATTTTTTTTTCATCAGCCAATCAGCAGTGAGCTTTTACATTGCATCTAGCTTTCACATTTGCCATCTTGGTTTTTGAGTCTGTTTTTTGGTTGTCGTCGTCTTTTAGTTCTACCACTTAATTTCCCTCATAAATCAAAGCCCTGCCCTCTTTCCACAAAATTAAAGTTTTGATAATAAAGAAGGTGTCATTACCACCTGTTCAAATGTGTCAAGAAATATCAGAATGTCACTTTTTAGTGTCATTTAGTCGGATGTTTTGATGAGTCTTTCAAATATAGGAATGGGTCCTAAATGTAAGGATTCCCCATATAGGTATGTCATAGATAAAGGGTAGTGTTTTTAATATATGAAGAAAATTTGGGGGTAAAATGACGACGACGACAAAACGCAACACGAAAATAAAAATGGCGATCACCGCGCGATGGACCATGTGTACCATGAGCACACAAGTCGCGCTGCACGACACCAACTGGCCTGTAAACCGCGTAGGACAATCGTAATTTCTACCCCAAGAAACTTTTCAAAAATTGCCAAAAATGTGTCAAAACATTGAGATAAAAACAAAACAGGGGCCCTACACTACACGATTGCCCTAATTTTTCCCTTCAGTGACCTATCAGCCATCAGAAAGTGTTAATAGGCCTGTGTCCTAAAAAGTCAGATTTAGCAGGGAAATGTTGAAGCAGGCCTGTATTTGAAATTGAGAAAACACAGAAATGTTCAGAACAGTCTCATACGGTTTGTGCTCAGGGTGAAAAGCGATGGCCAGATACGGGAATCTTTCCAACCCCAGCTCCAATGCTCATCGGGAATTCAACATGATATGAGCTGGTGGTAGTCCAAGTAACTTATCGCTTTTTCAACATTCAGACATGGTCTGGCAAGTAGGTCACCAGACCATGTCCGAATGTTAAAAGGGCGATAAGTTGGGTCCAAGTTACTCGGACTAAAGCTGGAGGCACACATCTGGTTTTTGTCCAGCAGCCAAAATATGGCAGAGGCTGTAAAAAAAATAGCCTCGGATAAGCCATTGAAATCATTTTTTTTCTTCATATTTTAGTTTAATAAAGCTAGTTTGAGTAACTCCAGCTCCAATGCTCATCAGGAATTCGACATATAGCGCTAAAACTGTGTTGTGAAGACACAGGAATATAAGGGAACATGGGAATCTTATGCTTTCAAGGTTTTGCCACCTCAAAGAGACCTTTATATTTTAATACTATAAATAATATTTTTCATTTCTGTCATGAAGAGGAAATGCATGTGTTTGAAATTGATACTAGATTCTAAGAGGCCCTAAAAACGGGACCCTCTGTATAGGTCTGTATCACAAAAATGGTCCTTTTCCCCTCTATTAATCCCAACCCAGATTGTGATACAGATACAGAGAGCCCTGTTTTTCAGGGCATCTTAGAATCTACAACATACTTTTAGCTCCATGCAGCTCTATATGTCGAATTCCTGATGAGCATTGGAGCTGGAGTTACTCAAGCTAGTACTAAGCATTGTTCTGTTTCAAGTCCACCTGGCAAGTTTTCAAACCTTCAGTTTTGTGTCTCTCATAGACAGTATTGAGAGTTCCAAATTTTTGGACTAGAGTTTCTCAAGCTAGAGCTGGGGGAACAACTATTGGAAAGAGTTCCATACCTGGACATCACTTGACACCCGGTGCACAAACCCTATGAGACTGGTCTGATAAATTTGAAGTGTATTCTCAGTAAAAACTTCAATATTTTTCCTGCTAAATTTGACTTTTACACTTGTTATCCCTTTCTGATGGCTGATAGGTCACTGTGGGGAAATATTAGTGATGTCGATGCAATATGTATGGAATTCTTCCCCAACTATTTTTTCCCCAGCAGTCAGAAAATGGCGCAGGCCATGAAAAATTGCCTCAACTGAAATTGTCTTTTTCCCCCATTATCCAAACCTAATTGAGATTAAACTCACCTAATACAATGCAGAACTCATCACAGAGCAAAGGATTGGCTTGAAACAGAACTACACCGACTAAAAGATAGGGGGAAAATGATGATTTTGGTGGCTTTTCAGATAGAACCGTCGCGTCGCAGCCGTGTTGTGGCGACATTTACAGCTCGCGTCTGAAACTGGTATGGAAACCACATGTACATCGCACTGCATGGAGACATGTACACGATATGGTTACCATACTATTTTCAGGTACGCGTTGTGATTTCAAATTTCGACCCCTACCCCTAGATATCCCACTGGTCATGGCTTTCAGTAGTATGCAACTGCTTTATGTGCAGTTTCTTTGTATTTCCAGTGTGTTTTTGGTCCAACATAATAACACCAAAATGGATGAGAAGCAGGGAGCAACTTCTGATGATGTCCCAACTGGGGAGGTAACGTCAACCACAGTTACGGAGGGTGATGTTGTCAAGATGCCAACAGATGTGGCCATCACTATGGATGCTATTCCCAATGAAGATAAGGAGGACAAATCCAAAGGTGACTTGTTATTCTTTTACTTGGTGAAGACGTTTGCCCCTTTGCCAGGTCAGCTAAGTGTAATCTCATTCATGTGATTTTGTCCGTTCTTGCTGATTGGAAAACTTAATACTTTAGGCCAAAAAAAAAAATAAGTCGGTCTCTGGTCAGCACGCGCGTCGATTTTAATCATGTGCGTTGATCTTTTTTTTCCAAAATGTTCCGCGGTAGCTCCAACAGCGCCCTCTATTTCCGCACCTCCTCAATTTTTTTTTACCAAAGAGCACCAAGGAATGGGAAATTGCACCAAGGCAAATGATCGAAAGCTCCAAGGCAAATTATGGAGGACACCAATGTACATGAGGACACCAAAAAAGCAAAATAGTACCCACCTTGTCTGTACAATCCAAGCTTGAAGAAAAAAAAAAAAGAAAAAAAGAAAGAAAAAAGCCGCGTGGCTGCGTCAATTCTGGAACTTTGGTCTGACCAGAGACCGAATATTTTTTTTTTCTGCCTTAACCCACTGGAATTCATCTTGTTGCAAAACAGTTTCATTGCATTCCAAGTTGTTTT